TGTCTTCTTTATAACGGCTTAATTCCACTGTCTTTAAAAAAAAAAAAAAAAAACTAGCTGCAGCAATTTAAATCAAGTGGTTTTAGTGTAAACATTTTAGAATGTTACCTTTTAAAATAAGTTTAAAAGCTAGAATTCTGATCTAACCCCTGTAACTCAGTGATCTCAGACTGCTGTTTTATTAGTCTGTAGACTGAGCCACTCTGAGGAAATGAATGTTACTTCCTTGGGCAATTACAAAAACAAATTGTATTGAAGAAAGTACAATGCCTGTAGAATTTGTAAGCTACTGGCAACGAAGTAACAGTGGTTGAACGTTTTGCCTAGCATTCCCAATACTGGGGAAAAAAAGAAAATAGAAAAGTATTTAAAGCCACTGTTTCACATTCAGTAAAAGTGATGTAGAAATCAATCTTAAATGTTGAAAGCGTTTAAATTATATTTTGGTCTTCAAAGCATGCTATACATTAGCCACATTAGCGAGGAAAATAAAATAGGTCTGTTAGCCATAGTATTTAAGATGCAACCCAGGATTTAACTTGTGCTTTTCTTAGAACTGTTTTCTGTTGCATTCATTTTGTCACTGTGGAAGTTGATTCATGGCTTACAATTTTTCAAGGTTATATATTGAATTTAATACTATTTATTAAAAAAAACTATTTTAAAAAGCAAATCCTTTAACACCTCTTCTTCCTCCCAACTCTAGATGCTCCTTGGTGTGGAGTTAAAAGTACACATGCGGGATCAAAATATATAAAAACTTCATTTCCCACCAAAAAGAAATGGGAAAATGGACATTGTTTAAAAGATAGAAATGAACCTTGCCATATAATGTAAGTGTTTTGCTTTTATGGTCTTCACAATTATCAAAGATAACCACAGAGTCCACTTAGTCAACTCGGGGAAGACTAAAAGTTTATGAAATTCAATCAGGTTCGGGTCAGGTCAAACAAGCAAACTGCATACTGTGCTACACATTGGTTAGAAGTGGTGTAACTACATTGACACATGATCCAAAGTTCCAAGTTCAAGTCAAAGACCATTTGAATAGTGGTTTGGAAGTATGGGTACCTGAATTGCTCTGTCATCTCCTAGGTTCACATCCTATCAATCCAAAGTGATATTACTGCCGCAGTGAGAAATCTGACTTTTGTCATCTGTTCTAATTTGTTTCTCTATTGCTGTGACAAAATACTCTGACCAACACCATCTCGGGGAGGAAAAGGTTTATTTGACTTGCATTTCCTGGTCACAGTTTATCAGGGAGCCCAAGGTAGGAACTCAGGGCAGGAACCGGAGGACAGGCCATAGAGGAACACTGCTTACTGACTTGCTCCCCTGGCCCATGCAATCTGTCCAGGGGTGGCACCACCTACAGTGGGCTGGGGCCTCAAAAATCTAGAAAATATCCCACAGACATGGCCACAAGCCAGTCCAATAGAAGCAGTTCCCCTCCCCAACTGAGGCTCCCTCTACCTAGGTATGTTGACAACTAAAGCTATCAAGCGCAGTCATCTGTTATTTTGCAGAAAAGGGAAAAGATCTTAAAGCTTTCTGTGGAATAAGGTTGGGCACAAAGCTGAGCACTAATTCAGAATGGCACATTGTGGTGAGAGCTGTAAAGAATCTGACAAATAGTAAAAGTTGGTTATATTATTTTAATGGGCACATATCCAGTTCCTTTTTAGTTAGTTCCTTGTACTAACAGATTAAATCTAGGTTGTATCAGTTTAGTATGGTTTGCCACTATAATTGGGTTTACATATAATATTTATAAAAGTTAATACTGGATTGTTTCTATTAGACAGAAATAAACCCTGCCATATAACATGTTTTGCTTTTATGGACTTCAGAATCATTGAGAATAACTACTGCCACTGAGTGAACTCGGGGCAGAATGAAAGTTTGTGAAATTTCAGTCAGGTTCAGGTTAGTTCAAACAAATGAATTGTGTACTGTGTTACACATTTGTTAGAAGTGGGGAATCAAAGTGTACCATTTTTAAAGTGTTTGTTTAATAAATGATGAGTATTAAATAAGCCAGATCTAAATAAAATTCAGCAGGCAGAAAAGTCAAGAATTGTCCTATAAAAATAAATACAAATTTTTCACTTTATTTAACATGCTGGGTTTAGCAAAGACTTAGTCTTAAACTGAATGCTTTAAAAGCCCCAGGGTGAGGAAAATACTTGTATCCCGGTTACTAGTCGTTTGTATTTTTTATGGAATTGAGGAACTTGCAAATTCAGTCAGCATTACTTCTCCAAATTCTTTGCCAATGTAAGGAGACACTTGAGATATAGAGATGAGAGAGACAAGAAATTGGCATTTTGCCACAGCCAGCTTGGAGAAAGTAGTTGCCAATGTCTATAGCACTGTCTTAATGTTATGTAAAATTATACCTGTTTAACTGCACATTTGCAAGACAAAATTTCAAGTTTTTAGGGCAGACTTAATTATGAAGGCTTGAGTGTCAACCTGTACTGCAACTAGCCAAGTGGCAGAGCTTAGGACAAACAGCATTTGCAAGCTGAAAGTGTTAGCATTTCAGATAGGCATGCCTCTGATTTAATGCAAAGGACTAGATGGCAATTAATTCCTACTTACAAAGTCATTTTTGTCCACCCCCAATCATATTTTCAAATGGGTCTTTAGGTTATAAATTCCTTGAAACACGTTTTGGAGCTCCTGCTGTGTGGGGAAAGGTGCAAGTTGCCAAGGCTACCTAGGAGAATCAACAATTCTTGTGCTCATACACCATCACATGAATCGGTTCAATATGGCAGGAGCTTTGGATAAGGGACCTCTGCTCTCTTAAGCAAATAAGCAGATACAGTTCAAGATAGCAGAGCTAGTCCAGAGGTGTCAGACCTTCGAGTTAGCTACTGTCTGCCCTGAGGGGAACCAGGAGCATGTTTTACTGAGGTGACATTTCATCTATAACCTAAGCGTGACTGGGAGTCAGGCCAAACACCTTGAGCAAAGGCAAACTGAAGAAAGGCTGGGCTGTGTCAGGGGAACAATGAGCTTAGTGTGGCAGAAAGTAGGATGATGAAGAGAATCTGGGAAGGCAAAGCCAAGACCAGATCCTTAGGGCTCCCATATTTGCCAGCCTTAGTAGTGTAGATTTTATCATGACTCATAAGACTGTACACCGAGAGTAGCAATTTTTGTTTGAGATAGGATCTCCTACAGCCTGGGCTGGCTGAAAAATTATATAGCACAGGATGACCTTGAACTCTTGATCCTCCTGTTTCTACCCCTCAAATGTTGGGATTTCACTCCTGAACCACCATATCCACTTCAATTTTTTTGTTGTTTTAAAAATAACTACAGGGGCTGGAAAGATGGCTCAGGGGTTAAGAGCACTAGTTATTCTTGCAGAGGACCTGGGTTCGACTTCCAGCACCCACATGGTGGCCTAACAGCCATCCGTAACTCCAGTTCCTGGGGATCAGATGCCCTCTTCTGAGCACCGCACAACATGGGTGCACTTACATACATACAGACAATACACTCATACACATAAAAAAATCAAAATAATATATTTTTAAAAAGAGTAACTGCTTATCATTATGGGGAAGAACTGAAAAGGAAATGGGTGTCAGCAATTGTTCATTATAATCTGTGCCTAGTATAAAAGATAATCAGTAAACAAAAGCTAGTAGTCTCAAGAACACTTTTTTAAAAAAATAACTGTAGCCTTTAGGCCACTGAAGCCATAGAGAAATGCACTGGAGGCAAAAGAGATGTTCAAAGACTGACATAAGCTTTCTATTATCAAACTTATTAAATAGAATGCTTTACTAAGCACCAGTGGACTTTTAAGAAACCTCAATTATGAATAAGGTGATTTAGCCGTACAATACAGCCTTAGCAAAGGAGTTGTGAACTTATTTATTTGGTCTTTTTGAGACAGGGTAGGCCTGGAACTCACAGAGATCCGCCTGCCTTAGCCTCCTGAGTGCTGGAACTAAAGATGTTGGCCACCACGCCCGGCACTTCATAACTTTTTTTATCAGCAGTAGTACTAAAGAATTCAATGCTGGTCAGTACATAGAGGAAAATCCTGAAACTTACGCAAGAAAACGGAATTTTTACTGTTTAAAATTTTTACTGTTTAAAATTTGATAGGTTTGCAATTCTAGCAAATTTTGTCAGATAAATTTATCAGTTTGGTAAATCAGCTTTTGTGTCATGCTAAGAACAATTTTTAAAATTCCAGTTAATGCTAAATCTCTATCCCTAATTGCTTTAGGTGTTAAGATATTCATAAAGGTAACAAAAAGGTTCTAACAAAAAATATTTAGATGTTTAATTTGGACTAGAACTTTCTAGATCATGTATTTAAAAAATTCTACTTAGAGATAGTGTTCTTAGGACCCACTACTGTGGATCATTTTGGGCAAAGAAACTGAAAGAGGCCTCTGGGCTCTTCGACTGCAGAGTCGAGGAACAGAACCCCTTCCACAACCACACCCTCTTGTGCATTTGCCATCAATGTATTTAGTGTTTGCTGTCTGTTCGGTAAGTAGTGGCTTTTAAGGTTTTGGTCCTATTCTTTCCAATGCCATCATTATACTTATGTAACTATATATAAAACCAAACCCAAAGTAGAAAGGTACTTTTATTATGTGCAGCATACATTTCCTTTTCATTTTTTAAAATGCTCATCTTGACTCTAATGACTGTGCTATGACCCACAGGTTTTTTTTTTTTGTTTTCAAACGGGGTCTCTCTGTAGCCCCAGATGGCCTGAAACTCACTATGTAGACTAGGCTAGCCTCTATCTCATAGAGATCAGCCTGCTTCTTCCTCCTAAGTGGAGTGCTAGGATTAAAGGTGGGCACCACCACGCCCCACTTGACCCACAGTTTTAAAGGACTCATATATCCACTTGGATAGTTTCAATTATAGTGCATTTATATGAATCTAATTCTTAGTTCTCTTTATATGCAAATGAGCTCTAGAACTTTGTCTCTAATTGTATACTGGTAAATTTTTTCTGTTGATATTACTGATAACTTTAACAATTCTTAAACTTATTAGAGGTACAAGATCTTCTTTTGCATAGGAAAAGTTGATTATATACCTGTGAAATAGTACATTCATGGAAAGGTAATGAGTTTTTTTTGTTGTTGTTGTAGTCAAATACTGGAGATAATGTCAGCAGTAAGAGAAGAAGAACCACTGGAATTGGCCAACACGCTATATAACAACACCATCAAAATATTTTTTTCCTGATATTTAATATGCCTGTGTTTTCCATCTTTCTTACCATGTATGTGAAATTTCATGTTAAAACTAAGTTTTATAATGGAAAACTAAGTTTCATTTCTGGAAGGTGTCTCAAGAGTTTGTGCTGTTCATTACCCCCTCACTTTTACCCTAAAGCATATCAGTGCTGTCTATGCTACTTAATGCCTTAGTTTAACAATGAAAACCTATTTTTATTGTGTAATCTCATCAAAAGTCTCAAAGGACAATTTTGTTACACTCCTGCAAACACAGAATGGCTGTTTTGACCTAAAAATTAAACAGCACATTCTGGTTTATATCAAAGTTTAGTTGATAACAAGCTTATTTCTCAATTCTCAGTCTGAGTCATGACTTTTGAACCCAGTTCAACTACATTGCAGCTCAAGTGTCAAAATAATTTCTCGGTTGCTTCTAACAGATTAATTTTTCCTTAGTTTTAAAATATTCTATCACCTTTCTACTCCAAATTATTTCCTTAGCTTTAATTTTATAAATTTCCTATATTTTGCATTTTCATTCTCCCACTCATTTTAAAGAAAAACTAGGGACCAGCATCAGATACATCATAATTTCACTGAGGAATCTTTGGCACAAATGACGCACCATATGACCATTATTAATCCATTAAAAAGCTATTTGTTCAAATTTTGTCATAAAAATGTGAAAACATTTTATTCTATGTACAATAATGTACACAAATTTAAATAGGTCACCAAAGAGACCAGAAGTAATTAAAGAGGTATATTTACAGTAGCACATCACAGTAAATGGAAAATCACTCACAGATTCAACATTGATACTGTTTTTGTGCTTGGTTACACACTGATGTGATGCATATTACTCCATTTTGGATGAACTGAATTTTAAACAAATACCTCAATGATTAGTAAATGCTACTTTAATCTGTATCATCATTAAATTCTTCTGCTGCTGCACCTGTGTGCTGAATCCCTCCATTCCTTTCTCTTTGAACCTCATCATCACAGTCTGTACTGTCATCCTCATTCAATTCTCGGTCAGATTCAGCAGCATCTTCTCTTACAGCTTCCTCTGGATTTTGATTTTCATTGGGTGCAATAAATCCATTGTTGTTAGATAGATTTGAATTGTCCTTGATATCATCTTCAAGGTACACTTTTTGATGGCACATTGGACAAGTATCTTGAATGTATAGCCATTTCCGAAGGCAGAGTGCATGGAAATAATGATTACATGGCGTCATACGAGCAGATGTCGTAAACTCATGATAGCAGATTGCACATACATCATCTATTTCTTGCAAACGGCTCCCTTTTATTTCAGGAAGTGAATTGATTTTCTTAACAGCAGTTCTACGATTCATGAATGTCTTCCAGCCATTTTTTGCTTGTAAGTAGATGTTAAAATATGCATGTAGGCACATCATACAAGCACGGATTTTACTTCCTGACTCAAACATCATGGTATAAGCCCCATTCCCAAACATTACTACTCCAAATATAAATTCAATAATATTGCCTGTTGAGCGAACATAGTAGACATAATCATCAAGCTTTTCCCAGAGGACATTATAGTAGCCGTCAATCATGAATAAAGTATAAACAGTGAGAGAAACAATTACTTTTAAGCAGAGTTCCACACAAAAGGCTGTAACTGCAAACAACCATGTATTTAGTGCATAATGATGCCAAAGAACGTAACTGAGTAAAACAGGAAGAACAAACAGGCAAGCAGAGACAAACAGCACAGGAAAATGTCTACGGAAAGATGACACATGGGAGGCACTGAGAGACATTAATACAGGGTCTGTCATTCCATGGATGAAATGCAGGACTGCAGTTAATAAAAGGCACATGTTTCTACTTAATCGAATAAGTCTCTCTTCCGGTCTCAGCCCACTTAAACCAGTCTGAAGAGCCAAAATAAAAAATAATACAGGTGCTACAAAGCCAAGCCGCCTGTCATCTTCTTCGGTTGATCCAATAAAGGCCAATATTCCAAGGCCCAAATAATGAGCTATTGAGGAAATTACAGCACTCATGCCTAGTACAGTTAGTGTAGAATCGCACCCACTAATTATAAGATTACAAATGAGGTCCCAGAAATCATCCCAAGAAATAAAGAAGGACTCGGTTTCATTTGCCATCCTTAAAATGTACATTAACACTGTAGCCTGAGCTGTAATTCTTGTTAACCAGAAGACCCGAAGTATGTCTGGGAAATGAATCCTCTTCCATGTGTCCTCCATCAATAACTGTAATCCATAAATTCGGTACATATGCCTCACTAACAGGTAAACATATCGTGTGGAATAATAAAACCACTTAAGTTTCACTGCCAAGACAAGCACTGTATTTAATATAAGAATCAAGGAAGAGGTAAAAACTAAAGTCTCTCTGATATGTAATGGCAGCTCTGTGATTAAGCCTATTATAGGAACCAAGAGATCCAAAATAATTAATTGTGAATAGATAGAGTGAATCTGGAGTAATGTGACATATCCAATTCCAAAGGTTAGCTGTAGAACAATGAGTGTCATCCACAGTGACGGCCCTTTCCGGGGAAGCAGCTCAATTCCAAAAGCTGACGTGTTGTATGCACCATGGAAGTCAATGTGCAAAGAAGCATAGTAATTCACCAATACTGAAGTTGCAGCTAATAGAAAGGCAGAGCTGTACATGTAAAACTTGAAAAGTGAGCGTTGTGACAAGATCAGAACAACACTGGATACAAAGATACCTAAGGAGAAAAAGAGAAAAGGTTATTCAAATGAAATATTTTAAGCATGTTTTCATACCAGAAATTATGATTTTCTTCCTTTAATTATGGCATTTTCACAGTTATGAACATTAAGCCTCCTTGACATATACCCAAAGGACCCATACTTGTGTACATCCAGTTTGTTGCTACTCTTTTCACAATAGCTAAGAAATGGAAGCAACTTAAGTGTCCATCAACTGGCGAGTGGATAATAAAAATGTGATATATTTACACAATGGAATTCTACTCAGCTGTAAAGAAAGACGAAATAATGAATTTTACAGGTAAATGGAGAAACTGTTACACTAAGTGAAGTAACACAGACTCAAAAAAACAAATACATATGTTCTCCCTCATTTGTAAATCTTAGCACCAAATCCTTATATGTGAGTATATATCCTGATATAAGAACCAGGAAAATGTGCTGGCATTTAAGGACCTAATGGAATTTAGAACATACTCTGCCCAACACACACTATTGTGCCTGACTTGCTTTCTCAAGTCCATTTCTCCACCATAATTATACCCATAGTTATAGTTCTTAAAATAACAGCCCACACATCTCCATCCCTGATTTCAGATCCTGCCCATCCTAGAGACCTACTTCTGATAGTTACTGTTCATTCAGCATACCTACAGAACTTCGTGACATAACTAGCACACACACTTCCTGATACTGTAGTTTGTAGTTATCCCTGTATGTATCACCAATTTCACAATGTGTCCTTGGTAGCAAGGATCTTACCTTGTCTGTCAATTAATCCCATAATGCGCAATATAAAGAAAATTGTTTTCACTGGAGGAAATAAAATGTTTCAGTACCATATGCATTATGTTCTTAAAATACAGTCTGACTGTAACCTAGGAAAGTGTAAGACAAAGTGCTTGGACTGGACTACCAAAAAAAAAAAAAAAAAAAAAAGCAATGAAGGCCAAAATTAAACATGTGTCTAGCCATGTTCCTTCATGTCATTGAGGAAGATTGATATATTACAGTGGATGCATTTCCCAACTTTCTGTGTATAAAACAAGGCTAGTTCCTTTAGGTGATGACTTTGCATACAGACTTCAAATTTATCCTGTGCCTAAACGTCAGGTCATTTGTGAAGAGAGAAAAAAAAATACAATCAAATGAAAATATATAATTCTAAGTCTAAGTAAGAACCACTAGCTTCTCTAAGCAAGGATGCCACTAGAAATCTCCCAGAGTGAGAGCTAGATACTTTTTATCAGAAAATGAGACTGTTTGAGGATTAGTAGCTTTCTCCTGGGAGGTAGGGAGAAGATGGCACCACCTCAGCCTACAGTATGCCGTGTGTTACCTTATTTTCTCTTTTCTCTATCCGGACAGCCCCAAATCAGTTTTTACCCTGAGACAAAGCCTGTTTTTCTAAGTGGAGTCAAAACTCAAATGATTTCAGTTCTATTTAACACCACTTAAAAGTAAAGCAGGTACCATAAATGTTTGCTAGTCACAAGTAGTAAATCAGTCTCCATCAATAACTATTCCTGACCTTAGCTGTATTTTTATAAGTAGGCTTTTTTATTTTAATAACCTTTTTCTCTGAATTCTCATTTTACCTATGAATAAAACGACTTGGCTGTTAGAAAGGTATAGATAAAAGGTGCCATTTGCAGGTCAGATGTGGTGACACCTTTAATCACAGCTCAAGGGAGGCAGAGGCAAGTCAATCTCTGAGTTTATTAAGGCCAGTATGCTCTATATAGCGAGTTTTGGATGCATAGTGAGACCTTTTCTCAAAAAAAAAAAAAAATGCCATTTGCTTTACCTATGTACCAAAGGTGAAAAAATGGGAAAGGGTAGAATAGGATAAAGAACATAGTGACACTACAAACTCAAAGTCTGAATAGGTCCTAACAAGTAATCTGATATGTCCATGTTCCCCACAAACAAGATCTCACTATATCCAAGGCTGACCTCAAACTTGTGATCTTCCTGCTTCAGCCTCCTCAATGCTGGGATTCTAGGCACGTGAACCACACCTACTCTTTCCTTGGTAAAATTACACTCCCAATGTATAATTAGTGAACACTGCAAGTGGAGCATATACTTGTTTTAATTCCTACCCCATTTTTGTAGGCAAATCTTTATTCCCACGTTCTTAGGGAACATGGGGAGAATCAACTTCATTTCTCAGCAAAAATACCAACTTCCTAAGTAATACATATCCAGCATAATGTTTCCTCTGATGATCTGTGGGAAGAACTGTTAGCTTCTTGACATTGCCACAACTTTAGACATGAGGTTCTTCCTTGATAATCATCCTAAAGGTCTAAGGAAATTAAACCCAGAGACAGTTTTTCATTAGGATCTATAAGTGACCTTTAGGATTTATAAGTAACCTGCTTTATTTTAGAGCAAACATGTTGGAACAATGGTGAATGAAGAGACCAGTCTCCAATAATTAAGAGTGTTTCAACTAAAGTTCTCAAGGTAGAAAAAGAACGTGTCAAAATTCATCCAGGAGCTTTGAAATTATATATGAGCTCAACTGACCAAAGAGTTCAGGGCTATTTCAATTAGATTACCAAAACCAAGAAAATAAAAGCAGGAAGGGGACGGTGAATTCATGTAGTTGACACAACAAAGCATTACCTCTTTTCTTGTTTTTAACTGAGTTTTTTTGTTTGTTTGTTTTTGTTTCATTTTTGAGATAGAAACTTGCTATGGAGCCCAAACTAGCCTTCAACTGATGACTCTCCTATCTCAGCTTCAAGAGTGCTAGGGTTAAAGATATGTACCAGCAAAGTGTTAACTCTTAAAATATTCACACTTGGCTAGTAAATTCTTTTGAAAACTTATTACTAAAATTTAGAAGGAAACAAAACATAACATGTACACTCTCCAGATCCCTAAGTACCTTTAAAACAATCTAAATCAGGCTAGGTATGTTGGCAAGGCAGAATAAAAGCAGAAAAGTGCAGTAATAAGTACAATGCTCCCTTACCTCAAATGGGAGTAATGAAATTTAGGAAAAAGGAAAAAAAATGCTGTAAAATGGTATTGATCTATTGGCATAGTTAACAAATAAATTATATCACAGAGAAAAAATTTTGAAACCAGATGTTCTGGCATATATCCCATAATCCAAGAACTGGGGAAGCTGAGGCACAAGGAAGATCAGGAGTTTATGGTGGTGCTGGGCTACACAGGAGTCTTAAGTCTTTAAAAAAAAATTGTATCTAATTCTCATTTTACATAGAAGAGTATCAAAAATGGTGTTCTGGGTGTTTCATTCAGTAAACTAAACTTATAACAAGTATAGTCTTATTAACACAGGTAAACATGGATTTTTAAAAGGCCAAGCCCTAAAGAAGATTCAATGAAGAGTGAGTCAAGTCTCGCTAATTTCTGTCTTCACCATCTATAGTATGAAATATCTACCTGGTTCTCATCCAGAATCCGAATTTACAATCCCCAAAAGGCCTTAGAATCCAGAGTTACGAGACTGTCTCATACACCAATGTGGTGCCTGACAGTTTGGGGCTTTTGGATCCTTAGGATGGAGCTAGTTTCATGGAAATCAAAAAATCGATCAGAAGGCTGTAAGTTTTGGTCCCAGTTCTACCCCACCTCTGAGGAAAGGAGAAGGATAAAGACTGAGTAGCTAAGGCAGAGGCCAATGACTGAATCAAGGGTGCCTCTGTAAAACCCTGAAAGGATCAAGAGCTGAAGGCTCCAGATAGCTCAACTCCTGGAGGTTCCTGGAGGCAGAAGGTCACAAGAGGACACAGAAGTTCCACACTCCTCTCCCTCTTCACTTCATTCTGCCCATACATCTACCTCTTCCATCTATGTCCTTTGCAATAAACAAGGAAATATAATTATTTGCCCAGCTTCTGTGAACCATCCTAGCACATAAGGGAACACAAAGAGTGGGTCATGGCAATTCCAAATGGTAGAGAGCCTGTATGTTAGACTCATAGGCTGCAGCCTGTGCACATTATTGACATCTGAAGCGAGAGGCAGTCTTGGGGGACTGAATTCTTAACCTAAAAAATATGATGGTAACTCCAGGGAGACAATATTAACACTGAACTAAGGACAAGCAGGGTGTCCACTGACAAATTTGCTACAGAACTGGTTGTTAGTGGGGAGAAATCCACACATACCTTCTAGTGACCAGAGGTAAAACATTCTGGACAGAATGTGGAAGAATAAGAAAATGCCTGTCTTCTGTATCATCGTGCCATCTTACTGTCATCAAAGACACAGAACTACTTTAAATTTTTTGTACATCCTGCCAAATTACTAATTACACATTCATATATAAATACATCTACTTTTTGGATGCTGCCTTTTGAGATGTTTACTTTTTAACCATCATCAAATTTATCAATATTTTATCATTTGTTTTACATATTTCTAAAGAAACTTCCTCTAAGTTCTACATTACATATTACTTTATTTAGAAGTAACTTCAGAAACATGAGGCAGAGGATCACCATAATTTTTTTCCCATATAATGGTGTCTTTCCACTAGTCACTTTTAATTTCATTTTTAACTGACATACGTTAATCAGTACTTATGATAAAGGTACAGTAGTATAATCTTGATGCAAGTGTAATTATCAAGGTTATTGACCCTATCTCCTCAAACTATAACTTATACTTAAAATTTTTATTTCTGATAACTTACTAAAGAATTTTTCCATTTTTACTGACCATTCAGGGTTCTTCTTTGAATGCCTCTTTATCTTTTGTCCATCTAGTGTGGTTTGAGTAAGAAGTGCCCCCCCACGACCGCCTCCCCATTAGGCTTGTATGTTGAAGTATTAGTCCCTGCAGGTGTGAGAGTGGTTGACAGGATCCTGAGAGCTAATTTCAGCAATGGATAATCTATGGATGAACTCTTAAACAGAGGAAACGGGGCCTAGTTGGAGGAAATGGGACACTTGGAGTAGAGGTGCCTTTAAAGGCATTATCTTATCCTTGGCCCCTTCCTCTTTGTGCTTCC